TGAGGCTGAGAGACTTCAGAGAAGTGTGACTAGTCCAAGGTCACCCAGCAGCTGCATGTGGAGGAGCGGGGAAGCGAACCCGGTTCCCCAGATTACGAGTCTCTTAACCAATACACCACACTGGCTCTCAAGTGTGCACATACACCTATCAGATCTTTCACTGATTGGCTACATTGGAGAATGCGGGGATGGGAAATATGTGTTGTGCCCGAATAGCCATCTGCTACCTGGTATTTGGCCAATAAAAGTGGGTGCATGTGAGGCTCAAACACTTGCCTCTTGAGACAACGCAAGCTTATTGTTACGTCCGAATCAAGCTTACTTCTGTCTGCCCTAATTTTGTCCCTTCTGAATCCTAATTTGAAATTTCTTCTAGAGATTCAAAATCCACAACACTTTCAACAAGACCCAATTTATGAATCGCATTTGCACTAACCCATATTATGTAATGAGGATAGTTCTTTTTCTTTTTGCTTCTGCGTTTTCTGTATATTTTAAACTTTTTTAACCTCTTGTGAACAGAATGTGCCTGCTTGAGTACCAAACCACCCACATTCCTGTAGCATTTTAACTCTCTAACACAAAAAACCCATCTTCATTGTGCTTGTGGTCAAACAGCATGTGGGCTAGAACTGCTTTTGCAGCCTTAAGATCATAAGGACTATGGCCCAGTTCACCTGTGAACAGGTGTATAAACACTCCAGCGCCTGTGGCTGCGTTCAGCAATTCGTAATATTGAATGAACTGCCATGCAAATCCATAATGGATTTTCTGTGGAAATTTGCTACTTGAGGCAGGGAAGCTGACATGAAAACGGAATTCTGTCTGAGGCTTCTGCGCTGCCCATGCCTCAGTGGAACATCTGAAATGTTCAATGTTCAGGATTAATGAACTGCTTACCAGCTGTCATTTTCCTTTCGTGAGACTCTGGAGGACAGTTATCACACCCACAGCGGGAAGCTATTTATTGGAATAGTTATACTTGCCGCAGACACTTCTGCTCCAATAATCTACTCTGCTTTACAGGGCGCCTGAATGCTGTAGGATAAGAACTGATTACAGAATGAAGGGAGCAAGAATGTGGTGAAAAAAATTCTCTGTAATTGAAATGTCACAGTATGTTAAGCAAGGGCAAAGCGAGGCAACTGTTTTATTCTTAGTGCTCATTTCTGAAGAAAAGGAAAATTGCTAGAATAATTTTTGTCCCGGTTGAAAACTAATTAAGTGTTTGATGCTGAGCTGGTTTTTAGGTGAATAATGGCAAGACATGACATCTGAATTGCTTGGCTGTGTCTTCAAAATGCCACAGTATATGAACAGGGAAGGGTGTGGATGTTAAGTCAACAATTATAAGATGGCAACAGATTTGGGGAGGGGGAGGGGGAGAGACGGTGTTTATTCTGAGCCCCCTTCTTTTCTGTGGTGGCACCCCAAATTTAGAATGCCTTTCCTGGAGAGCCCCATCTCTCATGTCTATAGTACATGCATTTCTGAGGCATTTCTTTGCCCACTCAATTTAGAGTGTAGAATTATTTTTTGGGGGAGGTGGAATTGTGTGTTATATTGTTTCTAGCTTTTTAATTGTTTTGACTAGCTGTATTTTGCTTTGTTCATATGTTGGTTTAAGACTGCATTGCTCTGCTAATTTTATCCACACCTCTGCACACCCCCTTGGAATAAAGGATGGCTTAAATATATTATAAATAAATAAATAAGCTTCCTGCTGGCAGACAGCAGCCATCACCTGTAACTGCCCATTTATTCAAGTGGCATTCTCTGAGTAAGGATGAGTGATTCAGGAGGGGAGTGTGGGGAGGAGGGTTACACAATGGCTCACCCAAGGTGCCATTGTTCTGATTGAATTCATGCAACATAACTGCCTTTATTTCGTTTTTAGCCAGGAGAACCCATTCTGGAATGCCTGTATCATGTGAAATCTGGACCTAAGAAACAGTTAATTAATGGGAATGCTAAAACGTTTGGCACTGTGACTGTTGTACAGTTTTACTCTTTCATTCCAGATTTTGGAAAGTCCAGGGAAACTTTAAGAATAGAGTTACATGATTACCTGGCTCTGCAAAAACATTCTTTCTCAATTGTGAATCCTGCTCTTTATTGCATATTTGTCCTTTTACATGGCTGCAGCATTCTCAGTGAAATTCTCACAGTCCATAGTGACCTAAACCTGCCAAATAAGCACTGCCTGGGGTGATGAAAAGCCCAAACTGAAATTTACGGTGCTTTCTGACTGATAAAGAACTGCGAGGAAGGTCAATACTGCTATTTTAAACAGACAGCTCTGAAGAATTATAGGCCTCCGATCCAGCAAAAATTTACTTATGACAAAAGCAACTTTTGCTGAGAATGAACCATCACCACACTTTTTAAACATATGTGATTTTAGCTTCTAAAGGCTGCAGTGCAGTTTTTGGCTCAAAGCTGCATCAAAATGCATTTTTTAAAACTGTATATCTCAAGATAAAATTTGTTTCAAAATGCATACCTTAAGAGAAGATATGTTGTGAAACACATCATGGTTCAAGTGGCTTTCACTAGTCTTTTCTTAGTGCTCCTTGTTAAGTGTTCAACCTGATTAGATGACATTTAATGAACATTCATTCCGATTTATTAGCAGGTTGGTGAGATGGCCTTGTGTCAAAGTGAGCGTTATCTCACATTTTCCAGTGCGTTTCTCCATCATTCTCCTTATAGCAAGAAGTCCCATCTTTTGGGGAAGTGGGTTTGTTGCTTAAGACTTCCCAAACAGCTTAAATTGACAAACCTGGATTTGCCAGGATGTGATTGAATATCACCACAAAAAAGCTATAGTCTGTAAGCATCCCATAGGCTAGGGGCTGAGGGTGTTCCTCCCCCCATGCATTTTTTGAGGGTGTTGGGACTTTTCAGAGGGCTTTCGGCTCCGCCTCCGGGCTCCTTGCAGTATCATGTGGCGTTGCGTGATGTTGCGTCAGGCTCCCTCAATCCTCTGGAGAAGGTGGTGCCTCTGAAGTGTCCTCAGTTTGACATTAGCTCTCAGGAATTCAGTTGATCATGAAAGGGGTAAATATGGATGGAGGGCTAGGAATGCATACCCCTAATTTCCCCTGCATGCTGGGTAAGTCCCACATCCCCTCACCGTCCACATGCAAGCACTAAAGTCTGAAGAGTGATCATCTAATGTTTATTGGATGGATTTCCCCCCTAAAATGATTTTTGAATTCTGAATTTATTATTGTTCATGTTTTATACTGTATTTTATGCTGTTTTTTGTTGCATAAATTAAGTGTTTTAAATTTGTTGTTAGCCGCCCTGAGCCTGGTTTTCTGAACCGGGAAGGGCGGGGTATAAATAAAAATTTATTATTTATGATGATGATGATCATGTTCAGTTAATTGCAGTTAGATGCTTCCTCATGGTTGGCAACCCTGCAATGTCAGCTGAACATGATTAGAAGTTCCCTTCAGACATCTGTGGTAGGTGGCATATCTGGTGTGGAGGGGACAGGGCGAGGATGCGTCCAGTTCTTTACACACATTTAAGCTCCATGTGATCAGGCTGCACAAATGAATAGGGTTGTGCATATTAAGGGCGACAGTGTTGTTATGAATATTTTTGAAAACTGGATCATAGAATGTGCACCTTTCCTTTCACCTATTCAGGTTGTTTATATTTTTCTTAGAAGTCAACGGTACTCTCAAGAATGGATTAATAACACCAGACAGACAATGCAGTTTTATTCCCCCTGAGCTTAAGGTGTCAGAGATTAGACTTTCTATCAAGTGCGACAGATTCTGATTGATTGGCTCTCTACTTTCCCTCGCTTCTTTTGCTGCTCAAGGGCAGCTGAATGAACAAGACCAAGCAAGGATGAGTGACTTTTAGATGTGCAGAAAGGACATTTCCTCCTCGTCTCATGGCTACTGGGAGGAGTCCGAGAACCAGATACAGTACAGCTAACGAAAAGCACTGGAAGGCAGGGACAGCCTTTAATAACGCTCACTTTCTTGTCATGATATGTAGCACTACTGGGAAATAATTGACACTTCCTTGTAATTATACCCTACTCCTGTGGGGCATGAAACATCCCGTTTTTGTTTCTTTCAATATCTTTCAATAAAAGGCTTAAATAGTTAGCTTGGATCTGAATAGGCTTGTTATTCCTTTGAAAGACTGAGGTTAATATTCATTCTATTGTACTCATTTCGGTTTTGGGTATTCTGCACCGACTAGAGAATTCATTCTTAATTTGAAGCTATTTCAGCGCTATGAAATATTTCTCGGCCTGCTACAAAGGCACGGAAATGAAGGAGATTGGTTCTGTGGCTTCTGTGTCTATCTTAATCAGACAGAGCAAATGCATTTGGAATAATGGCTAACTTTGACTCCAGCTAGGAAAAGACTTGACAGTATAAATATTTTTAAACTATTTCAATTATTTCCCAGTGATCTTACTAAGATTTTTCAGGCTGAAATCCTAAAGAGACATATTGAACAAAGTGGGACTTGCTGCTGAGTAAGCAGTGTTTAAGATTCACTGTTAGAGTTAGAAAAAAAAATCCGATAAATATTATTTGGACTGTTCTTTTGTATGAAACTTACGAGAAATAACTGATAATCTGTTATAGAGTTTGTCTTCTTCTCATAGCTGTCAACGTTTCCCTTTTTTTAAGGGAAATTCCCTTATTCCGAATAGGATACCTCGCAAGAAAAGGGAAAAGTTGACAGCTATGCTTCTTCTTCTAAACCCAGTTATACAAATTCTAGACCATTTCTTTCCTTTTTTAAAAGCCTCTGTATGTTGAGCCTATGAGAAAGTTTTTCTTAGTTCTTAACAGATATACCGTAATTCCTCCATTAATTTAACCGAGTTATCTGCTGCTCTATAAGTGGTCATTGAGAACAATAATTGCAAAGGAGGCAGCTGGGTGCAAGAGGAGGCGGCGGTGAACGGTGGCAGAGAAGCCCAGATCAGCTGAGGTGACCAGATCATCTCGCCTCATGGGCAGGCCAGCTAGAGTTTCTGGTCCTGACTCACCTCAGACTCATGACCCAGCCCTGATTTTTTTCTGACTTTTATCCTTTCTGTGATTCAGCTGCTTTTTCCCTCAATTGTTTCTTTATCTTTTCTAAATCTTGGCTCTGATTCCAAAGCTCAGAATCACCCAGCGTTAGCTTTGTCTGATATCCTACATCTAGGGTGCGACCTTTTCCAGTCTGAGGGCCACATTTCCTTCCGAGAAACCTTCTAGGGGCCACATGCCAGAAGTGGGTGGGATCGGGAGCAAAAGTAGGTGGAGAAACAAATGTTTGTTTTACTTTCTTACAGTAGGCTACTTTTCTACACATGCATAGAAAGATATATTCCAACCAGGCAAAAAAACCTCGGGTGCAAAGCAGGGCTAGTGAAGGCTGCAGCCCTGGGAGAAGGGGGGTGGCCTATAGGCCTGAGGCCCAGTCAGAAAGTCTGGGGTGGGGGCTGCATTTGGCCCAGAGGCCTGAGGGGTGCCCATTCTTATTCCATAATTTTTGCAGGCTGAAAATGATAGTACTTGCCTATAGCAGGTGATTTGTGTTTTTGATTTTAGCTCCCTGTGTGATTTTAAATAAAACATTTCCTATCACTGGTGAAAAAGAAAACAGCTTTCTAATTGATGGGAGTTGCTGCTGCATGCTGTGTACTGACATAATATGGCATTTTACTCTTCAAACAGCTCCAGAAATGCTGAGATTTTTTTTTTTTTAATTCTAACTTTCTTTGGTAATTATTTATGCAGTCTACAGGCCCAAATGAAACTTCCGGCTTGTACTCATTGGGTTATCAAAATCTGAAAACACATAGTGTGGGTTTTAACTTTTAGTTAAAATCTGGGATCTTACGGTCCCAGGTAATCCACAAGCAATCTCCGGTTGGAGCTATCGCACATACTTCTCTAGTCAGAGAAAAATGGAGATACTGTTCTTCTAGACAGTGAAGTATTATCTCTCTTTGATCTTGCTGCCCTTGTAAAAGTATACATTTAAAACTCAAATGTATTACATACATGTAATGTATGCAAGGGACAGCTGGAGCAGAGTGTGCCACACTACCTGGTATGAACAGGGTCGGTGTCAGGAGTAGCCATTGCAGGGCACCTGTTGAAAGCCACACATCTGCAGGGGGCCCATTGCCCATCTCTGAGGTCTCCAGATCTCGGAGCTCCTCCTCTTGCTGCCTGCTCACTCTGAGCATCCAGGAATGATAAGAGGGAGTAGAAATGGAGACCCCTCCTCTGCTTCCTTCTGGAGAGTTCTGTGGTCTAGGCCCAGAAGGAGAGGTTGAACACATGGGCAGTGGTGCCTCAGAGAAGGGACCATACAGAAGCCTCCTCACTCAAGACCTACAGCCAGCAGTTGATATGAAGGCAAGACACCCAAAGGCACTGGCAAACCAGAAAAGCTGGCACATCATCACAGCCGCCCCCCTCCTCCACTCCATGGTCAGCTATCGTCTCAGCAAGATGCAATATTGTTGAGAGAGCAGTAAAGAAGAATGGAGACGTGCATAATAATAATAATAATAATAATAATAATAATAACAACTTATTATTTATGCTCCGCCCATCTGGCTGAGTTTCCCTAGCCACTCTGGGCAGCTCCCAATCGAGTGTTAAGAACAATACATTAAATATTAAAAACTTTTCTAAACAGGGCTGCCTTCAGATGTCTTTTAAAAATAGGATAGCTGCTTATTCCTTGACATCTGATGGGAGGGCATTCCACAGGGCGGGCGCCATTACCGAGAAGGCCCTCTGGTTCCCTGTAACCTCACTTCTTGCAATGAGGGATCCGCCAGAAGGCCCTCGGCGCTGGACCTCAGTGTCCGGGCTGAATGATGGAGGCGGAAACGCTCCTTCAGGTATACAGGTCTGAGGTCGTTTTGGGCTTTAAAGGTTAGCACCTTGAATTGTGCTCGGAAATGTACTGGGAGCCAATGCAGATTTCTCAGGACCAGTGTTATATGGTCCTGGCAGCCACTCCCAGTCACCAGTCTAGCTGCCGCATTCTGGATTAATTGCAGTTTCCAGGTCACCTTCAAAGGTAGCCCCACGTAGAGCGCATTGCAGTAGTCCAAGCGGGAGATAACTAGAGCATGCACCACTTTGGCAAGACAGTCCGCGGGCAGGTAGGGTCTCAGCCTGCGTACCAGATGGAGCTGGTAGACAGCTGCCCTGGACACAGAATTAACCTGTGCCTCTATGGAGAGTTGTGAGTCCAAAACGACTCCCAGGCTGTGCACCTGGTCCTTCAAGGGCACAGTTACCCCATTCAGGACCAGGGAGTCCCCCATGCCCGCCCGCCCCCTGTCCCCCAAAAACAGTATTTCTGTCTTGTCAGGATTCATCCTCAATCTGTTAGTCGCCATCCATCTTCCAACCACCTCCAGGCACTCACACAGCCCTTACTATCTGATAATGTGCAGGAATGACCCACTCTGTGAAGTGCAGCTGCAGCTGCACGCTGCCTACAGGGAAACATTGAGCTGTCTGCAAATATAATAATGTCATTGGATTGTGCTGGTAGTTGCTGCTAGAAGCTACTGGCGAGACATCCCCATGCACATCTGAAGTGTAAAAAGCACAGATTCCAGAAGGCCCCTGTCTAATAACCCAGATTTACCTATACAGAAGCAATCTCTCTCACTTAGGGTCTTGACAGGATACAGTGACGAGAACGAAAGTGTCCCAGTGCTTTCTCATTCATGTTGATGGAGAAAGTGGCATTCTCCCTGCCTTCTTGAATGACGATCACTTTGCAAAAGCATTTGAGCAAAACATTCCCTCTGTGCCTCGCATCCAGTTGTTCAGAGTAATTCTATGACAAGCAGTTTTCACTGCAGAAATATACCTCTCCAAACCCCCTGCCGCTTGCAATCTCCACAAGTGCTTGGCTTGTTTGTATGTTTAAATAGCTTGACTCCCATGTGGAAGAAACATTCAGAATCCAGTGGACATTAGAAAGTGTTTCCAGAGATATTTTAAAAAACTATATACCCAAGGGCCGCAAGACGAAGTTGAGATTAAACAATTTTTGGCAAAAAATGGACTATCTAAACTGTCACAAGAAAATAGGACAACCCTGAACTCTAAAATAACACGACAGGAGATTGAACAAGCTATTCAGAACATGCAACTTGGCAAATCTCCAGGGCCAGACGGGCTGACCTCCAAGTATTACAAGACATTAAAAGACTATTTGATACAACCCTTGATGGAGGTTAGCAATGAAATTATGGAGGGGAAGAGGGCACCGGACTCGTGGAAGGAAGCGTTTATCACATTGATACCAAAGTCAGAAACTGAAAAGACACAACTGAAGAACTACCGTCCCATCTCCCTTTTAAATGTGGATTACAAAATATTTGCAGATATTTTGGCAAGTAGATTTAAAAAAAAGTTTTAAATGAAGTAATTCATAAGGACCAGGCCGGTTTTCTCCCAGGTAGACATCTGTTTGCTAACACAAGGAACATTATTGATATTTTGGAACTTCTCCAAACTGACATAAATACAAAAGCAGTTTTAATTTTTATAGATGCGGAGAAGGCCTTTGATAATATTTCTTGGAAATTTATGATGGGAAACTTAAAAGAGATGGGAGTGGGACGGGGTTTTGAGAATGGGATTGAGGCGATATACTCAGAACAGAAAGCTAAACTGATAGTTAATAATGTGGTTACAGAAGAGTTCAAAATTGAAAAAGGGACACGACAAGGTTGACCTTTTTCACCTTTGGTATTTATCTAGGTCCTGGAAGTGCTATTGAACATGATTAGAGGGGACCAGTTGGTGGAAGGAATTCAGGTTGGTCAGAAACAATATAAACTAAAAGCTTTCGCAGATGACCTGGTTTTGACCTTGCAGAAGCCAGAGCCTAGTACGAAAAGAGTATTACAATTGATTAATGACTTTGGTCGGGTGGCGGGATTTAAATTAAATAAACAGAAAACCAAGGTTTTGGGGAAAAATTTGACCGAGACAGAGTCAGAACGGTTTCAGAATGAGACGGAACTTAATGTGGTTAAAAAAAGTAAAATACCTAGGGGTAAACATAACAGCAAAAAATCTAAGTCTATTTAAGGATAATTATGAAAAATGTTGGACAGAAATTAAGAGAGACTTAGACAGTTGGTCAAAATTGAAACTTTCTTTGTTAGGCCGAATTGCTGCGATTAAGATGAATGTATTGCCAAGAATGTTGTTTTTATTTCAAACACTTCAGGTTTTGGACAAAATGGAGTGCTTTCAGAAGTGGCAGAGAGACATTTCGAAGTTTGTCTGGCAGGGCAAAAAGCCCAGAATTAAGTTTAAGATACTAACTGATGCAAAACAAAGAGGGGGCTTTGCCCTGCCGGACTTAAGGTTGTATTATGAAGCCGCAGCGTTCTGCTGGCTAAAAGATTGGCTACTTCTTGAAGACACTGATGTGTTGGATTTGGAGGGGTTTAACAATGTTTTTGGATGGCATGCATATTTATGGTATGACAAAGTTAAAGCAAATAAGGCCTTTAAGAACCATATTGTTAGAAAATCACTGTTTAATGTCTGGACAAAATATAAAGACTTGCTGGAAAATAAAACACCAAGGTGGCTTTCACCTTTGGAAGCTAAGGCCCGAAAAGACCCAATATGGAGGCCAAATGGCCAAAATATTGGGAAATACTAGAAAAGATGGAGACAATTGGAAATTGCAGAGTTTGGAGAAAATGAAAGACAAAGTGCGAGATTGGTTACACTATGCTCAGATTAAAGAAGTTTTTAAAAATGATAAGAAACTAGGGTTCCAGGTGGAGAAATCGAAATTAGAAACAGAATTGTTAGAACCAAAGACTAAGATACTTTCAAGGATGTATAACTTGCTGTTGGAATGGAATACACAAGATGAAATGGTCAAATCGGCTATGATAAGGTGGGCACAGGATATTGGGCATAATATTATGTTTGAGGACTGGGAAAGGCTGTGGAGTAATGGATTGAAATTTACTGCATGTAATGCTTTGAAAGAAAATGTAATGAAAATGATTTATAGATGGTATATGACCCCAGTCAAACTCGCAAAAATTTACCACCTGTCTGATAACAAGTGCTGGAAATGTAAAGAGTGTGAAGGAACGTTCTTTCACCTCTGGTGGACCTGCCCTAAAGTGAAGGCGTTCTGGGAAATGATTTATAATGAATTGAAAAAGGTATTTAAATATACTTTCACTAAGAAACCAGAGGCTTTCCTTTTGGGTATTGTCAGCCAAGGGGTGGCAAAGAAGGACCAGACATTTTTATGTATGCAACAACAGCAGCAAGGATACTACTCGCAAAACATTGGAAAACTCAAGATCTACCCACACTGGAAGAATGGCAGATGCAACTGATAGACTATATGCAACTGGCTGAAATGACTGGCAGAATCCGTGACCTGGGAGAAGAGAGAATCGAGGAGGATTGGAAGAAATTTAAGAACTATCTACAAAAACATTGTGATTTGACTGAATGCTGAATAAGATGCTAGACTAAATAACTGAGCACCACTTAACTTAGAAGTTTTTAAGAAAGTAAGAAAAACTGTGAAAGTTTAACTCTTTATGAGAACTTTAAGATTATGAAATACCAAAGAGATATAAGAACTTAAATAAGATGATAAATTGCTGACAAAATGTTATAATGATGAAGGTGGGAGCGGGAGGTGTGAGGAAGTCCAAAGAAAATGTGAAATTATGTTAAGACGAATGTTATATTGTTTATTACACTTATTCTTATTGTAAAATCCAATAAATTGCTTTAAAAAAAAAAAAAAAATAGCTTGACTCCCATGAACAAATTAAGGACTCACTTCAATGAGATGAATGCAAGAAAACTGGCTATGTTCCCAAAGGATGATGAGACCCATCCTCAGAATCATGATAAAACTGTTCTGGACTACAGTTGTACCTCCGCTTACGTATCTCTCCGTTTACGTAAGCTTTGGGATATGTAACCAGCAAACCTGGAAGTATATTTCTGGGTTTTTGCCGCACACGCATGTGCAGAAGCACTGTACCGCCGTGCGTGCGCAGAAGCGGTCCCTCCAGTTGCAGAAACCTCGGGATCCGACTGGAGCTCTGGAACAGATCCCGTCCGCAACCGGAGGTACCACTGTATACCACTTTATGCTGCTGGTGGAATTTGAATGTTCATCCATGGGGATGGGAAGACATCCTCTGACCATAGAAAAATAGCATGCTGGGAAGAATAGTTTGCTGTATGGTCCTTTCTTCCTGAACTGCTAGATTTCTATATGAAGGAAACATTTTGAATGTGACAGCATTCAAACGCTCCATCTGCAGCTTGAAATGGTAGTCCATGAAAAGTTTTACTAGTTGGTTCCATTGCATATATAACCTTGCCCTAAGGCTGGAGGGTGGCAGTGGATTGAATCCAATTCTGATTCTTCCTGTGGTTACCCACACCAACTTCCATATTGTAACAAAAGCCTAGTGCCTGTCCCTCTCTCTGCCAAGCAGTGGCCGTTCGCTTTGGAGAACAGAAGACATGGCGGAGACTGTCGTGCTTTATGAAATAGGGCTTATGTACCTATTTACACCTTCAGTTTGCAAAGAGGGAGTCCAGATTTTACAGCATGGTCTACAGCAGTGCAGAGACCTTTCCTGCCTTACTTCCTCCTTCTTCTTCCCAGGAATCCATACTTTGAAACTCCCTTTTCCTGCCCCCTTAAACACACAGCCGACAACCTTTGTGACATCTTACTCCCCAGGTCAAAGGATCCTTCTATGGCCCACCAACACATTTTTATAATGCTAACAGATCTGCTCTTCCCCCAGCCAGCCAGGCTGGTTTACATAAACCACCCCAGGAATTTCCTTAATTCCCTGTCTGGCACAGTTATGTACTTTAATCCACATCCTGATTCATCAAATTCCTAGTATTTATTCATTCCTAGTGTTTAGGGGACACCCCCCCCAATTCTGATGCGGGTGGCGCTGTGATCTAAACCAATGAGCCTCTTGGGCTTGCCCATGAAGGTCAATGGTTCGAATCCCCGCAAAGGGGTGAACTCCCGTTGCTCGGTCCCTGCTCCTGCCAACCTAGCAGTTCAAAAGCATTCCAGTACAAGTAGATAAATAGGTAGCACTCCGGCGGGAAGGTAAACAGCGTTTCCATATGCTGCTCTGGTTTCAGTGTTCTGTTGCGCCAGAAGTGGCTTAGTCATGCTGGCCACATGTCCCGGAAAAACTGTCTGTGGACAAACACTGGCTCCCTCAGCCTGTAAAGTGACATGAGCGCCACGACCCCAAAGTCGTCTGCGACTGGACTTAACTGTCAGGGGTCCTTTACCTTTACCTCCGCCCCCCAATTCTATAACAATATTGTTCTGGAGTCCCCTGCCCAACCACCTGGAGCAGATTTTCATGGGTTGCAGGTCGAAGGGGGAACTAGTAAACATTTCTTCATCTCCCCCTTCTGTTAGGGGTCATGCCTGCTGGGTCAAAAGTCCCTATGAGAGTGGAAGGTTGCAATTTGATGCAATTAGTTTGAGAAAGGGTTCACTTTCTATAGTGTACTTTTTTTCTCCCACTATCGATTCTGATCAGAGAAATTTTGCACATTGTGTTGTGCAAAATGTGTTTACCGGAGTATATACAGTATACCACAGGCAGCTACTCCTGTTTCAAATTTTCTTCAGCTGTTTCAGAATATTGTCTGTTTCTACCTTTATTGCATGTAGCTGGTGGTTTCCAGCATATTCCTCTGTGGGTACCATGTGTAATGAGTTCTGCATCAGATTGTTCATATGCATCTCCCTTCTTGGATCAGTGTGACATTGAGGTGTTGCAGTGCTATACAAATGCAAAGTATTTTTAGGATTTATTTGCACACAACAATCTATGTCAGGGTGATGAACTGGATCTAGCCGGCAGGCAAAATCCTAGGTTCCCCCACCTTAGGTGGGTCATTTTGAGAGGTGGGTGGGTCTTGCCCACCTGTCAATCACCTAACACCACTATGACTCCAGGCGACCCATTTTTCCCCTTTGTAATCCAGCCAAGTGACTTTAAGTTAATGCCAATCAGCAACCCTGACTTCAAGCACCTCTTTCTGCAGCGGCAGCTGTGTGGAGTTCCTCATGACAAACTCAGTAGTTTGTTGATCCCAGGGAGTTTGAAATCGGCACTGACTTCAAACTCTGTTCTCAGCTTTCAGCTCGGCTCAGCTGTGCTATGGAGCTTCCAAAAGCAGTGGAAATGAGAGTGAGAAGGAGGAATGCATCTCTTCAGCTATTCGCGAGACTGACAAGGAATGAAATTGGGTGTGGAGCCAGAAGTCATATGTAAAAGGGAATAGCTGTACTGTTTTACTCAAAGAAACATGTTAATACCAGAAATATAAATAAAACATGATGTTGCTGCAGTTAGGCTGTATGCTTGAGTCCCTTCTATTTCCTGGATCCAGCAAGGATCCAATTGTTGGAATAGCCAGCCAGCTTCTTGGTAAAGTCCTATGTATGGGTTGTTAAGCTAACAAAGGAGGTGGCTCTGTGCCAGAGATCAATTGTTTGGGCCTCCCTCCCTCAATCAGCTGGTGGTTAGAAGGGCAAAAGCCAGAGTGGAAGTGTTTGTGAGCTAGAAGTTAGAAGCAGGCTGCAGGCTGAAGCCTATGAGGGAAAGACGTGCTTGATTTCTGTGTCTGTAACCCCTGGAATCCTGCAATGCTTGAAAATCGGGGTGGTATGAAAAAAATAGTAAGCAAAAAATGGAGAGAGGTATCAAGTGTGTCACAGTTCAAGCTCTATGCTTCTCTAAGGATTCAAATACATGCAGACTAGCAGGATTTGATCATTTCTTTCTTAATTTTTTTGCGTCCAACCAGTCTCAAAGACATTGGCTGCGTAACATTGCAAAAGCTACGACCATAAAACAAGGAATAAAATGAGGAATGTGCATTTTTAAAAAGTGCTCTGAATGAATTCCTGTGCCTGAAACATAGCCAGATATACAGGGAAAGCCAGCTGAATCTGAATAGAGACATGTTAACAATTGTTAGCTCCGTTCCATTAATTCATACGCCTGCCATTGCAGACTAGTCCAAATATGCAGGGTTTCGAACACATCTGAAAGATGCTGATGCCTGGCCTTTGGAAGGTCTCCAAGGGTAGGGGAGCCACCAGAGAGCTCTCAAGGGCACCACTTTACATATTCTTGACATCCTATCTCAGCACAGGCAAATGTATTATTAAAAGGCAGCTCTGGGTCAACCTAAGATAATGCAATGTGTCAAAAGGAATGAAGGGGTCCCTTAGGGGTGCTGCTTCCAAACCTTTGTAGGTCAAAAGTAGCACATGGAAGTGTACCCAGAGGGAAAACAGGAAGCCAATGCATACTCTAAAGGACTGGCGTAATGTCGTCTTGTGATTCTGCTGTCAAGAGAGCGGCTGCCACTTTCTGTATCTCCTGTAGCTGCAAAATAGCACTGGTTGAATAACTGGATGTCACTGAACAAGTGAGGAAACTAATAAACATTTGTGAAAACATCTGAGAGGGAGCGAGCTCATTGTTGAAACAAGAAGCTCTTTTTATTTTTTTACAAAACAAAACTGGATTTCTGCAGTTCATCCTTCTGAGGGTTCGGCTTTTCACAACACCCACCAAGGAAAAGGACCACAAAGGCATACAACCACGTAGAAATCATTTGCTGTCCTGTGAGACAAATTGCACAAACCTTTGTTGCTTTTGAACAACTGTGTCAGACATGCTTGGATACCATAGCAACCACCAGCATGTTTGAAGTACGCCAGTAAATTCCATCAGTCTTTTGGTGCCAAAATAGCAGCTGCTACTGTCTTACTGCGAAGACGCATCACACGCATTTAGTTTTGTTTTTATCCTACAGAAACTAAATCTGCTGATTAGAAAAAATACACTACTGAAGAAAAATATTTGTTTCAGCTACATATTCTTTATGTAGGGAACATTTCTATTCCTTGGTCGAGAGGGATTCACACTTTTATAGTAGTCATCCAACTGAAAAGTTGTAGGAATTCACTATGTGGCCCTCATTATGAACCAGAACCCTGTCATGTTAGGACATTGAACAACTGACTATTAAAAAGAGATGAAGAAATCAATTGAACAGGCCTTCACTGGGTGCTAACCAAATACCGGTAAGTCATAATCAGAGAGTAGACCCATTAACTCGAGGGACTTATGTACCTTAATTTCAGTGGATCTATTCTAAGTGTGACTGGGATTGAATATCATTGCATTTCCAAAACATGGAATAATAAAGACTTTCTAGAAGGGTTCTTAGCTTACTTACTTGTGAATTTAGGAGGCTTACAGACTCATGATCTGACTTCCTCAAAGGTTATTCTTGTGGTTAGGAATTGGACAGGTAGACAAGACTAATTAACATTATTTTGTGCCTCAAAACCATACAATATGGCTGACTGGGTAAGGAAGCAGGGGTAAGAAGTGGTCTGATAAATTATCTCTTAAAAGTCACAAGATCTGTTAACTATGCAAGCACAATGGGCATTGTGCATTTCTGCCTCATTAGTACATGCTTTAACATTTATTTAGTTGTTTCTGGAGAGTGCAGATTGCAGGTGCCTGCTATATCTCAACAGGATAGCTGCTCCACAAAACAGGGGCAGCTACACTAAAAGCCCTGCTCTGAGTTATTGTGGTGTGGATTTCTGAGATCTTTGGAACTTGCTGGAGAAACTCTCCTGCAGACTGCAGCAATCTACAGGGCGTATAAGGGGTTTGGTGGTCTCTCTAGTAACCTGTATAGGGTATTATAAGTTAGTAACAACATCTTGAACTTGGCCTGGTAGCAGGATGGCAGCCAGTGCAGATCATGAAAACAGTGTTATACGCTGGAGGTAGTTTTTTCACACAAACAACACAACTGCCATGTGCTGCAACAGCTGCAGCCTCCAGACCAACCCCAAGGGCCATCCCAAAGGCAGCACATTGTAGTAATCCAACTGTGAGGTTACAACTGTGGTCAAATCATTTTGAACTAGGAACGGTTGTAGCTACCTTAGCAACCAAAGTTGGTGAAAGGCACTCCTAGACCCGCCAAGTGTCCCTATTTTCCAGGGACGTCCCTGATTTAGAGCAGCCATTACGGTTTCTGATTTGATCTTAGAATGTCCCACTTTTCCTTAGGATACGGTATCCCTATTTTCATTGGAGAAATGTTGGAGGTTGTGCACTCCTAGCCACAGAAGGCATCTTCACCTCCACTGACAGAGCTGGAAACGGGGGCATGGCACCCCAATCCACACTCCTGGTCCTTCCTCAATGCTCTGGAGCAGCAGTTCTCAACCTGCAGGTCCCCAAATGTTGTTGGACTACAACTCCCATCATCCCAGAGCTCTGGCCTTGCTAGCTAGGGGTGATGGGAGTTGTAGTTCAACAACAGCTGGGGACCCACAGGTTGAGAACTGCTGCTCTGGAGTCTCATGGAAGTCTTTTAGGCCACAAAACTCCTGTGGTTTTATTTTGTGCTTTCTTTGTGCTGTTTTGTTAAATGCTAACAATGTGGCCAGAACTTTCTTGAGAGAAGCATTAACATAATAGTAGGCATAAGCACTTGCAGTACATAGCTCAGAATTAGCATATCTTGAGTTGGAGGCATTTGTCATTTTTATCTCTTTCTGCCATGCTATGCTTACCTACTGAAAACAGATTGTCCCGTGCAACCCTGATGAATGAAGCAGCACACTTGTAAACGGATATATTTATATTGCTTGACGACGACGACGAAAATCTATCTTTGCCACACTAATGGAGCCAGATAAGATTAAATCTAAGGTGATACACTTAATATCAGTTCTGCAGAGCTGGTGGCATAAGGTTTGGGTTTTAATTTATCTGGTAGAGAAAACCAACACATGACAACTTGTCAATCTATATATTGAGATCCGAAATGCAAGTGCAACTGTTTAGCTGTGTTGGCATGATGACACATAAGAAGACAGGAAGAGCCAGTGGCCAATCTAGTCTTGCATCCTGCTCTCACAGTGGCCAATCAGAGGCCTGTGGGAAACCTGTAAGCAGGACTCAACCAGAAGAACACTCTCCCCTTTCTGTGGCTTCAAGCAACTGGTATTCAGACACATTACGACCTCCAACTGTGGAAGCAGAGCATAGCTAGGAGCTGTTGATAGCCTTAACCTCCATGAATTGGTCCAATTATCTTTTAAAGCAGGGGTAGGCAACCTAAGGCCCGGGGGCCAGATGCAGCCCAATCGCCTTCTCAATCCGGCCTGCGGATGGTCCAGGAATCAGCATGTTTTTACATGAGTAGAATGTGTCCTTTTATTTAAAATGCATCTCTGGGTTATTTGTGGGGCCTGTCTGGTGTTTTTACATGAGCAGAATGCGTGCTTTTATTTAAAACGCATCTCTGCGTTATTTGTGGGGCCTGTCTGGTGTTTTTACATGAGTAGAATGTGTGCTTTTATTTAAAATGCATCTCTGGGTTATTTGTGGGGCGTAGGAATTTGTTCATTTTTTCTTCTTCAAAATATAGTCCAGCCCACCACATGGTCTGAGGGGCGGTGGACCAGCCCATGGCTGGAAAAGATTACTTCCGGGGGAGGCGCCTCCAGTAATGGCAGAATTCCTCTGACCGGGAGGAAGCTGCTCCGTGGAAATCTGGGTCTGGCCGCCACGGCAAAGGCAGAGACCCGTTAAAATCACAGGCGGGAGAAAGCTGTGAACGTGGGATTCGGCGGGCACCTTTTGCGCCTCCCCCACTCGTGGGGAACCCCGGTTTTTGGGGCTCTGGAGCGACGTGGGGTGAGTGGCGCGGTGCATCGAATTGTCTGCTTCTTCCACGGAGCGAAGCCGCATAGCTGTTGCCGGAGAGCGCTGACCTTTTCCTGTGGACAATTTGACTTCAAAGCAAAGGAAAGAGGTGGATTTGCCCTGCCAGACCTCAAACTTTATTATGAATCAGCAGCTTTTTGCTGGCTGAAAGAATGGCTACTTCTTGAAAACACTGACATTTTGGACCTAGAAGGTTTTAACAATGTATTTGGATGGCATGCATATCTATGGTATGATAAGGTCAAAGCACATAAAGCATTTAAAAACCACATTGTCAGGAAAGCGCTGTTTAATGTTTGGATAAGATATAAGGATTTGTTAGAAAATAAAACCCCAAGGTGGCTGTCACCAATGGAAGCTAAGCCTTGAAAAAGCTCAATATGGAGGTCAAATGGCCGAAATATTGGGAAATTTTGGAACAAGATGGAGATAGACTGAAATTGCAGAGTTTTGAAAAATTAAAAAACAAAGTGCGAGACTGGCTTCATTATTTTCAG